CTACCATAAATGAAACAACAACTTGGCGATAAATCAAACAAATACTTCGCCATAATACTTCCCAATGTGCTTTACTTAATGATTAGAAGTTTAATAAACAGCTATTTACAGCCAAAGCATAAATGTAAAGGAATGATAAAAATAATTGATAAAGCTAAATTTAAAGAATGTCACTAGTTATGAATATAAAAATATTTACTTTGCATTTCTAAAATGATAAAAAAATTTTTTTTGCATTTTTTGCTGAAATAAAATTTAGGATAAAAATAAAAACAGTTCTTTAACATAACATTTTCCATAAACTATAGTGGACATTTTAATATTTTTTTGCGGAAGAAAACCCATATATTTTATGTCAAAAATGTTAAATACAGACAGAGAGTATTTAAAAATATGATAACTTAATTAGCTTTTGTATATAACTGGATAAGAAGAAAAGATCATGCAAATCAAAATTGTTTACTTTAACTGGAATAAGGCAACCTGTTTTGGCAGATTCGAAATATCAGGCAGTACACAAGAGCATTTTAAATAATTATAAACATATTTCAAAATGTCTATAATATTTAATTCTGATTACGTTTGTATATATAATCAAAAAACGCATTTTCTTAAAAATTAACAGTGGCAATGCGTTCCAAATGAAGAACTAGATTAAATTCTTACAAATTCTTATCTGTATAAAATATCATAATCTCGGTTCAAAATAAACGCGCTTTTTGGGCGGGTTGTAATGATATGCATGTTACACAAATGATCAGGACAAAGCAATTCACTAACACACTGTTCATCGATACTAAAATAATAAATACTAACAGATTTACTTACATAATCAAGTAAACATTAAACGGAATGCTTCCAATGCCGTCAAATAAAATGCATTTTTCCCCCTATTCTTCAAATAATTGCCAGATAAGGCAGCCTCTGAATGAAATTCTTTGAAAGTTTCGGTGTACTTTTATATATATATATATGCCTTTGATATGAATATATATGCCTTTGATTAAATATGTATAGCAACAGATGATTTCAAAACTTTCCATTCTGTACTGTCATATCCATAAATAATATATCTATTAACGTGATAAAAGTGTTTGTTTTTGTTCCTTATCTGCATATTATCAGGGAAAATCAATTTGTTTTGATTATACCACACTTTGCTGTTTCAAAAACACATTACAAATAATTACTCACTCAGCTTTATCGAAATATGAAAACCATTTAAAATTGACACAATGAGAGTTCAAATTAAAAGATCAACGAAAATGTAATGCAAAAAGCGATTTTTATAAATTACAGAAGTGCTAACTGTAACTGTTATCTTTTTTTTTTTTTTTTATTTACATTTGTGATTTTGACGCGTAAAATTTTTAATCCTTTTAAATTTCAAAATATGATTAAAGCTCTGATTGCCGATTATATGTTATGATGGTTAATAAAGTTAGACAGAGGAAGAAGGGCGATGAATCTGTTAAAGACGATGATAGATTTAGCGAACAAACTGTTAATGAAACACATTCAAATGAAATTCTGGGCGACGTGTCGCGAAATGCGACTGGTCGTAATGTTGAAAACTTAATCAGTCAAATTTCAGATCTTCCAGATGTTAGTAATAGCGATTTTAAAGACAATAATAGGCGCCTACTCAATAAAAAGAAACAGGTAAATTTCTTTCTTGAATTTTTATTCTGTAATGTGAATGTTCTGTGGGTAAAAAAAGTTTTTGCACACCTAGTACATTTTTGTTTGCAATTCATAAAAAGAAGCATTAAGGAATAAAAAATTGGTATTGCCAAATCAGAATAAGTTTAATCATCCAAAACAACAGAAAATTACAATAATATAAAAACAATCTTGTTTGTAACAGAATTAAAATATCTCCTATCAAAAAAGTATTTGCACACCTGCATGAATACAAAAGAAATAAAATATATAAGCAAATTTCAAATAACTAATAGGGTTTTCATCCGCAGAGAACCCGTTGGCGCCGTTTGCATTTTTACTTGCCAAGCCGAGCCGTAAACGTGATTTTTAGTGCATGTAAGTTGAAATTAGCAGGCAAAGCAATATATTAAGCATATGGTAGTAAAAATTCAGAGATTATAAGCATGTAGATGTAAAACTAACTGGTTAAACGTGATATACGAAAATAAATTTGTATTAATTCAATTAGCACAGAAAATAATATATTAACTAAGACGATATATAAAAATTTAAGCGGAAATAAAAATCATTTAAAAAATATAAATTAGTATTATACTGAAATTAACCGGTTAAAAACGTGATAAACGAAAAAAAATTGTCTTAAATTCCAGTAACCAAAAACAATAACAATTTTGATGCATCAAACTATTCTGTCATCTTAGATATCATATATTTTTTTATTTATTAAATCACTATTTAACACACCTGCCTCCTCTGAAAGGTTTTGTTAGAAAAGAACAATATATTATCTTGTTAAATTTTAAGCCATAAAATTGATTTACGCTCATAATTTTAGATGACAATACCAATAATAAAAATAAAAACATACTTAATTATTTAAAACACATGCAATGTTGCGGCCTACGCAAACAAATTATTTTCGGATGGAAACCTATAGTCTTAGCGCTGTAATAATTAAGACACACGTAAAACAGCCGTGTTACAATGACATTCACCCCTCCCACCCTATTTCTTCATTTCGTCCCGAACTGAGAACCGCATCTATCTCGAAAATATTTCTATCTATTCGTTGTTAAAAAATTCAGAAAAAATAATAATAAAGAACAGAAGAATAATATAAATCTGCAAATGCGAACAACGATGGTAATAATTCAACAAAATGAACACAAGAGGAATGGTTGCAAACTTCGAACAAGCAAATAGGATAAAGCCGCTGGGTTACCAGGTTTGAACTATTATCGCCAAAGTTGGCGATGTTTACATTTACCGTGTTCTCTGTGGAAGTGCTTCCAACTAATATTTAGTATGCATGGCTTTAGCATATTTTACTGCTTGTAATCTTGCTGGCATTGATTTATTAAATTTTGTAACAGTAGGCATTATTCGACCACTCTTCAATAAGGACTTGTTTGAGGGCAGATTTGCTTGAAATCTTTCCTTTTTTTCTTTTTAAATCCAAAGAATTCCACAAATTTTCCAAGGGATTTAAGTCTGGTGATTGTGGGAGTGGCAAGGTTCTGGTACATTAAAGCAACCACATACGTGTTTACCGGCAGGTGCTTAGGAGATCATTGTCTTGCTGAAATAGTAAATTACTGATACCCATTTTATTGCACTTTGTGGCAAATTATCTCGCAACACATCTATGTAGGTCGAGCTGTCGTATTCCCATCAATAAAACAAATTACCAACTCCTTTGCCAACCTGCACCCCAAATCATAACAGAACCTCCTCCATGTTAACTGTAGGTAACACATTTTTGTATGAAAGCAGTACAAGGTTTTCTCCAACTACTTTTCTGCCATCCTGATTAAAGATATTGAACTTACTCTCGTCGGAATATGACATTTTTCCAGAAATAAATTGGCTTATTGATATATCCTTAATGAATTCAAGTCTCTTCAGTCTGCTTCTTGGTTATGAGAGGATTTTTTTGGTTACTCCCCTAAACGTGTCATCGTGCAGGACATTTTGAACACTTTTGCACAGATTGAACTTCAGATGTTGAAGCGCCATCATGGCTAAGTAATTGCACTAACAATGGATTTTTTTTGCTTCTCTTATGATTTTTCCCTTCATTCGCAGTGAAAGTTTCTTTGGGCATCCAGAGCGCAAGTTATTTGATGTAGATCTTTCTTTTATAACATTTTATAACATACCAATATAGAAAGCAAACGTTTACTTTTTACCTATTTCTTGATAACTTAGGCCGTTCACGTAGAGAAAATTTTTTTTCTCGCAACGAAATTGGCAATTCAGATTCTTACGCCATTACAATTTAATCGACAATCAACTGATAATGTTTCGACAACACCTCCTTTTACATATCTTAGTATGTTATTTACTACGGGATGACTGTCAAATAATAGCAAAAAATGCAATTTGCTAAAGCTGAGTGTCAAACTTTTTTGACATAAGCTATTTAATATTGTTGCAAAAAATTTTTTTAATATTTATATTTTTTGTAATAATTTAAATGAATAATTTTCTATTTTTAAATGCATTTTGTATTTCTTAATGCATTTTCTTATGAATTGTGAACAAAATGTATGTGTGCAATACTTTTTGTACCAACTGTATACAGTCAAAAGTCTAATCCAGACTCGTCGGACTTCCGCGATTCCGGATTATCGATTTTCCGGATTATAGATCAGTTTAAATTGGTAGATGGCATGCAGAATTACAAAATTAAAAATATGAACCGTAATTTATGAATAAAGAACAATTATGATCTAAAGTAATCAAATTTACAAAAAAAAAGCTTAATATTTATTTGTTTACTTTATTAAACATTTCTTTCAATGTAATTGCTTCGTTTCATGTGATATACTTTCTCTTTAATTTTATTAAACAGACATAATTTCTTGTTAGTTACAAAGTTCTGCTGTTCAAATCCTTTTGCTGTTAGAAGAATACTACTAATTGTCAATCGAATGTTTTCCTTTCAAAACCTGGGGTCACTCTCTTCACTATCGGAAGCGAAGATAATGACGAGGACTTGATTTAAATCATATCAAAGACGAGTACATCGATTGAAATACTACACTTAGTAAGGAATTATAAGACAAATAAAATAAAAACATCTGCCCTGAAATAAGGAATAGTGCTGACAGATCAACTTCCAATCGCAGCGTGAAATTGATAAACATATTTCGATTTCAAAACATACTTTCGCTTTGTAGATACAATTGCATATTAGTAAATATATATCGGAAATTCCTATTTGACATAATCGAAAGTTCAAGCTTACTTTTATGAATTTGCTCTAACATCCGCAAAAATAATAAGCCGGATCCAATTGCAGATTAAGGAACAATGCAATCTACATTAACTGAATTAAATAATTTTTGCTTAGATTATATAGTCCGTTACACATCAAACGCGCATGCGCAAAAACATATTCGCAGCCGTAAAGGTCTTACGCGCACTCGTAAACGCCTGTGCCCATGCGTGATTGCGACGCATGGGCAGAAAGTTTGTAGCTTTTGAGGTCCAGATTATAGATCATTCCGGATTATGGGTGTCCGAATTAACGACTTTTGACTGTATATGCTGAGTAGATATCGTAAAACCATTTAGCATTCATTATATATATACTGGCACCAACGGATCCTTTGCAGAAGAAAACTCATATACAGTCTAAAGTCGTTAAACCGGACTCGTCGGGACTTCGGCGATTCCGGATTATCGATTTTTCCGGATTATAGATCATCAGTTTAATCTCATAAGATGGCATGCAGAATTCTAAAATTAAAAATATGAAACCGTAATTTATGAAATAAAGAATAATTATGATCTAAAGGGTAGCAAATTTACAAAAAAAAAAAAAAAAAAAAGCTTAATATTTATTTGTTTACTTTATTAAAACTTTCTTCAATTAGTTGTTTAAGTGCTCGTTTCATGTGATAATACTTTCTCTTTAATTCTATTAACAGTCATAATTCTTGTTTAGTTACAAATTCCGCTGTTCAAGTCCCGTTATTGCTGTGCCGAGAACACCGACTAACTTGTCATCGAAATTTTTTCGTTTTCACTAACCTCTCTGTCACATTCTTCATGTCTTTATCCATTTTTTTGCAGCATTCACTTTTGTTTGTTGACATCGAAACATACTTTCGTTTTGTAGATCCTTTTAAGTTCCAGCATCGGAAATTCTATTTGACATAATCGAAAGTTCAAGTTTACTTTTATAAAATTGCTCTTACAGTCTGCAAAAAATAATAAGCGGGACCCAATTCGAAGTTTAAGGAACAACGCAATCATTAACATTAACTGAAATATATAATTAGAGAATTTTAGCTTACATCGTCCGTTATACATTAAAACGCGCAGGCGAAAACGTATTCTGCACTTGCGCACATGCATATGCGCAGTAGTCAAAGGTCTTACGCGCACGCGTAAAACGCCTGTGCACATGTGCCAATGCGGCGCACGCGCAGAAAGTTTTCAGCTTTGAGGTCCGGATTATGGGTGTCCGAATTAACAACTTTTGACTGTACTGATTAATATATATATATATATATATATATGCTGATACTATTTAAATACTGCTTATTTTCGCCTATTGATCTTACATCATACTGCTTATCAGAAATTTAATTCATAAATATTTGAGGGTTTTCATCCGCAGAGAACCCGTTGATGCTTCGGGAAAGAACCCGTTGGCGACGTTGCATTTTTACTTGCGAAGCTCGCGGTTCTTCGACGATGAGCCGAGCCGTAAATGTGATATTTTGTAAATGTAATTTTTAGTGCATGTAAATACACTATATTAAGCATAAGCAATATATAAGCATTTATAATGGGAATAAAAAATATAAATTAGTATTAATGTACTGAAATTACCCGGTTAAATGTGATAACAGAAAAAAATTTGTCTTAAATTCCAGTTAACACAGAAAACAATATATTCCTTACACCAGCAGTGGTTTGCTAATTTTGATGACGATGGTGATGCATTAAACTATTCTGTCAACTTAAATAATCAATCATATTTT